CTCCTACCTCTGTGCCAGAATGTTTTACTTTTCCTCTTGTTCAAACGACAGACTTCCTTCTCTTCAGGCTATCCTTTCCCCTTGTGACGTGGATCCCATCCTCTTTCACTTCCTCAAGAACTTCATGCCTGTACTTTTCTCATCTCTATCTTGCATTGTAATCTCTTTCTCCCGGCTCATTTCTAGGAGCCTAAGAATGTGTACAACATCTCTTACCTTAAAACAACACACTCCCATGATTTCTCCTCTTTCTCCACCAACCAAGTCTTTTTCTCTGATCAGCTTAGCTCCTTGACAGATTGTTCTAGTTGTTTTTACTTTCTTTCTCTAATTTTTCTGAAATCGAATCTGTTCAGGCTTTGGTCCACCCTGCACCACTAGACTGCTTTTGTCAAAATTGATAATAAGTTTTATGTCCTCAGATTGAACGATCGGTTCTCCATCCCTATCCTCCTCAACCTATTGCTGGCATTCGTTGTGGATGTCACTCCCTCCTTAAAATGCTTTCTTCATGCTACCCTGGGACACTGCTCTCCCTGCTTCCTCCCATGTCTCTGTCTGCCTCTTCTTCTCTTTGGCTGGCTCCTCCTCTGCTGAACATCATCGTGACTTGGAGTTCAGTCCTTGGGCCCGTATTTGTCTCCATCCACTTTCTAGATGATGTCATCCAGTTCCATGGCTTCTCTACATTGATGACTCAACATTTTTGTCTCTAGCCCTACTCTCACCCTTGAACTTCAGATTCGTATTTCCAACTGCTTACTTGATGTTTTCACTTACATGCCTCATAAAGATTTCAAACCGAAGGCCTCCAAATCAAACTCTTGTTTCCTACTTCCCTTTAAATATGTTCTTCCCACTGCTCTCCCCCTCAGTAAATGGCAATCCCATTCTTCCAGTTGTTCAGGCCCACATCCTCAACTCCTCTCTTTCTCTCATATTCCACACCCACTCTATCAGCAGATCCTGTCAGCTCTACCTTTGAAATAGGAGGATGACTTCTCTCCACTTTTCCAACCACTGCTCTGGTCTGGGTTGCCATCATTTTTCACCTGGCCAGGCTACAGGCAGCCTCTGAGCTGGTCTTTCTGTTTCCTCCCTTGTCCCTCCACCCACTCTTCTTCACAGTGGCCAGAACGATGCTTTTAAAGCACTGTTCTGCTAAAATCTTCCCGTCTTACTAACAGTAAAATCCAAGTGACCAGGCCTGCCACACTCTATGATCTGCCCCGGTGACCACTGGCCTCATCTTCTTTTACATCTCCTTTTGTACAGTTGGCACCAGGCACACTCGCATCCTTCCGGCTCTTCAATCCTCCAAGAATACTCCAAACTTGGAAATTTGTCTCTAGAAGGCTCTTGCTTCCACAATATCTCTGTGATCCTCCTATCTAAAATAACACTGGAATTGCTCTCTATGCTCTTTACCCTGCTTTAATTTTTTTCATATTGGTTATCAACAGTTGGCTTCAATATGTATGTCTATTTGTTTATTTTTTGTGTCCTCTTACTGAAATACTGGTTCCATAAGAGCAGAGTCTTTGATTACTACTAAATCTTTAAAAACTTACACATAAATATATATGCACACATATAGTACGTATACATACAGATAGGTACATAAACATACATATATGCATATTTGTATGTGTGTGTATATTTACATTTTTGTTGAATAGATTATGATTCAGAGGACATTCAGCTCGGTCTAAGTTGTGTTACTGAGGGACGTATCCAGGGATTGGAATACTACTCTGTGAAGCATCTCTACATGACCTTTTGCTCTGCTTCCTTTGAAGTGTGTTCTGATTTTGCCACCCAAAGAGTTTTGACTTTTGCTGATACAAACGTGTATCTCTGCTTCATGCCACATCTAACCACAATCAGTAACTATGACTGTTGTGCTTGCTTGACTTTAAATAGTCTTGTGTCGATGCCTAGCCATCACTTGTGTTCATGATGTCCCTGCGTATTATGCTCGCAGAGCAGGTGCTGTCTGCAGCCCATCTTCACAGAACAATTTCTGATGAAGAGGGTTATAAGTTATAGCAGATATGCTCAAACTTTATCATGTGTAGGAGTCACCCAGGGAACTTAAGAGCAATCTAGATGTACTGGGTTAGCCCCCAGGGAATTTGATTCTGAGGGTCTGGATGGGGCATTTTTCAGTAACTATCCAGTTGCTTCTGATGCAGGAAGTTCTTGAATGATATTTTGAAAAACTTTAGACAATATCTTCTGTTCTCTATCATCTTGATAATTCACATCCTACTGTATTAGAAGGTTTTGGAAGAGTTAAATATCAGGATTGCAAATGTGATCTTTGTCACAGATTCAGAAATGTTTGTATTTGGGATTTGGGTTTGGTAGGCTTATCTTTTTCTTGTGAGTTCTAGGTGAGTTGTGACTCACCTAGCATATTTCATTCACTCCAGAAATGGGCCTGGGTTCTCCCCACATCTTGCTACTAAGTGGCTTAGATGTATGTAACATATCAATAGGAGATGAATTCAAAAATCACATAAAAATCTACACATAGGAGAAAGGAGAAAGGCAGAAGTTCTCACTTTCTGGGAATTGTAAGTTATTACTGAATGGGCCTAGGCATATGTAAGAAAGTGCAGAATGTTAGATGTAACCTCATGACCAAAAAAAAAAAAAAAAAAAAAAAGGCAAATGAATATAAGCCATTGAGGGTTTGAAATATGCTGAATAATTATAAATATTACAGTTATAATTTGAGAGTTTGAAAGTTCTGAATTCAGATTTTTTTTTCTCCTTAAGTAGGTTCTCAATACAAATCTCCTCAAGTTTTTGAACGCTCACCATTTTAAGCCTAATTCACCATACACAGTGATGGAAATTAAGCTGTTGATTTCTTTCCCGGTTAACTAAATGCTTATCATTCAGAGTAACTTGGGAAGTCTATAGAACATGGTTTATGCTCAATTAGTGATCACTCTTTTTTATTTCAAATCTTTTTTAAAGCAACACCCTCTACCTTGAAAAGGATATCTTCTATGTTGTTCTAACTTACATGGCATATAACTGCTGTACCTGGTTACTGAGTCAGCTGTGGTCAACTCTGATGAATACATTAAAATACATCTCAACACACCTAGAATATTACTAACAATCTGGTGCTAAAATTTGCCCTGAAAATATGAATTTACCAAGTCAGTTCTACAAGGCAGTGCCAGAGTAATAGATTGCCTTTTGTTAGGTGAGTATTTATAAGTTAAACTTAAATTCTGGCTAATAGCAGTATTCTTATTTTTAAAAATCTTGCAATCTTTTATGTCTGTTTTAGTGGAGTAAATTTATGTTCAGTGTTACATTTCTCTACAGTGCATAAGGATGGAATTAATCCTCATGGCAGCTGCACAGAGTCTGGCATTTTTAATATTGCAACTGCAGAATATCTCAGAATAGCTTTTATTTTGTAGAATGGCCACCTGTGCTTTTGGCTTTGAGTAAATATTTATTGAGAGTCTCATATTTGCAAGCTAGAATGATAAGCATAGAATTATTATAATATTTATAATTATTACAATATTTTAATTATGGTTGATATAATAAATATAATTATATTATAATACAATAATTATAATTATTATAATAAAGAATTATAATAATTAGTTTATCATGATGCCTAACATAGTACAAAATGTTTTCAGATTCAAATGACCTTCACTTGACCTGCAAAAAACCCTCCCAACAAAGTCAGAGCCATCATTTTCATGTGACTTGACTACTACAGTGTTACTCCACTACTTTTCATCCTGAAATTTAATAAATTTAATGCTCATAACTTAGATAAAAGAGAACGGGGAAACTAGAAGTCAAACGAGTGAAATTAACAGTTCAATTTAAATTTCAGTGTTGTTTTTTCTGGATGACTTTAATCCAGATATTAGAGTATGTATAAATTAATTACCGTTAATGAGTTAGGACAGAATAATATCCTAAAAGTCATATTTTTGAGTAATATTTATAAATATGGAAAATTCCTATTATAATTTTAGATGTATATAAAACTGTGCTTGGACTCTAATCAAATAAAGACCATATGTACATTATACACATATACATAGAAAAGAGACTGAAAAAATTCAACCAAGTGTCAATGATAGGAACTCAACTTTGTTAGTCATCAGGAAAATATAAATTAAAATCACAATATGACAACTTTTTTTTTGATTGAAAAAAGGAGTTTATTAAGCCAACAAAACTCTCTATAAAAAGAGGGGTCCCAAAATGGGTAACCCGGTACTAGGAGTTTTTTGTGCTTTTTATCTTATCTTGGGGAATTTCTCTCATTTATATCTCATCTACCCCTTACTTCCTGAGACCCAATTCTTACCGCACATGTGGGTCCTTGACCAAGGTTACTCCATCCTGAATCTTACCCATAAGTCTACAGAAAAGCCCATGGCGGGGGGAGGGGAGGCTCAATGCTAATGCTATCTTTTTTTTTATTATAATCGATTTTTAAAAATGATATTGTGGGGTACAGTTAAGGGTTAGGTATACAAATATGCTCCATTCAGGCACACTTGTTGATTATGACAACATTTTATCCACCAAAATGGCTAAAGTGAAAAAGACAGTTTTGGTGAGATGTGGAGCAACTAGAACTCTCCTAATCTTCTAGTAGTAGTGTACACTGGTCCAGCTACTTTGAAAAACCATTTGACAGTGTCTAATAGACAGAATGTAGGCATATCCTATGACCCAGCAATTCACTCCTTAGTATATAGCCAACATAAATGTGTGTGTGTGTGTGTGTGTGTGTGTGTGTGTGTGTGTGATATGTTTACAACAAAACATGTACAAGAATATTCATAGTGAAACTATTTTTTTTCACTTTTCTAGTAAGTTTTTATTGGTAGTTAAATCATGATTCAGGGGCCCCAAGTGGGGATCACCATGTACCCTGGTCCCCCTTTAGCCACCCTGGGAGCAAGATGGAGGACAGTATAGAGGGGGGTGCAGCCAGTTCAGATCTTCCTGGGAAAAGTGCCTTCAGCCTCGTGGTCGTCCCAAGTTGAGACCCAGGTTATGGGGCTGAGTGACTTGTACACATGCTGGTACCATTCACACACAGAGACATCACCCTCTTTAGTAGTCATTGCCTTCTCACAGTGGTGGAAGGTTAGGTAGTTCTGCTGGCAGTTCCTGGTCTGGTTCTGGGTGGGGAAACGGCTGTCAAAAGGGGCAGTCTTGTAGTTCTTGATTTTGGTCATGATACTGACTCCTAAAGACGCCCCTGATGCATGTCGCAGCTCAATGTGACCCACAGCAAAGACTCCCATGAAACTATTTTTAATTGTCCCAACTAGTAGTTTAGTTACATTTGAAAATGAATGAACCATAACCATACAGAGCAATGTGAATAGGTTTCACAAATGCCCATGTTCTTTTAACCTAATGTGTAGAGAAAGGAGACGTATATGTAAAAAATATAGAGAACTGAGCATAATGGTACCCACCGTAATCCCAGTTATTCAAGTCCAGTCTGGGCAGCATAGAAAGATCCCATGTCTAAAATTTTTTTAGAAAAATATATGCATGAATCAAAAGTAAACTAAACGTATGTATGGCATTGAAAGTCAAGATAGTGGTATTTATATTTGGTGGCATGAAATGGGGGAGTTTCAGAGTTCTTGATCTAGGAACTGGGCGATTTGTAAAAATTCACTAATATAAATCCTTATGTTTATTGCAATTTTCTTGTGTTTTCATAAACAGTTTAAAAGTTCCAAAAAAGAAAGAAGATTAAATGCTGTTATTTCTTCACAGTAGGATATGTATAAATTAGATTCTTACTTGTACCTTTGTTTTCCAAATTTTATATAATAAGCATATAATAGTCCTATAATTAGAAAAAGGTTATTTAAAAACCTTCCCATACAGTTTCTTAAATGTGTTAATTAAAATACTAGATATACTCCGCACAAAGTTTTTAAATTAAAAAGAAGTCTTTTAAATCTACTATCATTATTTCCTACTTTATTAGAATCTCTTTGGGCCAGGCTCAGAAATTTGAATTCTTTTCAGCATCCTTAGGTTATTTTTATTCACAGTTGATACTGAGAACTGGGCAGTGCATAACATTGCAGAGGGAAATGCCTTACAAAAGAAGAGCGCAATGGGGAGAAGTTTGTTCTCCCTGCTATTCAAAATCATTTTGCCGGCCAAAGGGGACATTATTTAAGAACTTGAAAATATTTCACTTATGTGTTTCATAAGTGAATTTTGATATGTCTGGGAATATTACACTGTACTAAAGGCCTGCTCTATTATAATCTAAGGAGAGTTCATAATAATGTTGAAAATAATAAATGGTGATGTGAGCTGATTGCCCAAACTAGCCCAGTTTGTGATTTATGTGAAATTACATCAAGATGATCCTAGTAACTGAATTGTGCTCAAAGAAATATTATTAATAATAAAACCTCTATTTTAATCTGAATTCTCAATAAAGACATTATCAATCCTTATTTATTGAGTATTCATGATGTATTAGGTATTGAAAAATAGAACACAGAATCTCAAATAACACAGCTACTTCCTCTTCTAAACTTCACTGCTTGGAAGATAGTATATAGCAATGGTCTATGATTGGAGAGAATTTCAGATGCAAAAATATCTAACCATGTGCTCCTATGTAGAGGATAATGTGATTAGGCTGCTAATTTTTCATCTTAAATACTTCATAATTATAAAGCTCAGCAAAATTTGCATTACTCTCATATAGTAGTTTCCAGACTAAATAAATCTGTAGCACATAATTGTGAAATGACTTCTAAATGATAATCTTTTACTATTTTCTTTTAATCAATGCCACCTGCCTTCCTATTAATAACCATGGTTGTTTATCATTTTTTCCACTTTATGCTTGTGTAATATGCCCTTCACTTGAAAGGCAGGTGAAAAAAATTTGAGTCTTTAAGAGTCTTCAGAAGGCACTTCTGAACTTAAACTGTGTTGTAATGAATTATTCCCCATATGTTATAATAAATTATTTCCCAAGCAATATTAATTATGACCATCTTGACCCTATGTTTGAATTAAAAATGTAGTTCTTTAAAATCCATTTAAGCAGAAATTTTAAGAGAGATAAACATTTCATCTAGTTGCAATTTTGAAATATTTTCTTCCAGGTTCTGTTTGAAGAGTCTTGAATGTGTTCAATTAAGGTATCACAATTACTTTTACAGTGGTTGATTGCGATGTCATGGATACCGAGACTCTGATGAAGAAAGTAGCTTACAGGAATCAAAATATATTTTCTGTAAGCGTGTGACTTCACTTGCAAAGAAGCCATCATCTTTCTACCATTCGTGCATACACGAATGCAGCAAAAAGTGATTCAAGAGAACAGAGAATTTTACTCTTTTATTTGACAGTTGCAGTTAATGAGCCCCAGAGGATGTTAGGGGTCACATCCAAGCACACACAGCTAACAGAAGCTGTTTCTAGTTTTTAAAAAGGCCCCTCGACTTTCACCTCCTTGCTTTTTTTTTTATTCCCTCAGAATTAGGTCTACTTTGTCAAATACATAATCCTATGATAATAAAAGGGGCAATAAAATGTCTGATAGTATTAATATTTATTATTTTGATCTATGATACGTTCTGATAAGAATCTAAGAAGTCAATGTGTCTCTCTTAGACATAATCTATGCTTTAGCCAAAATAAACTTCTTGGAGTCCTCCTCAGTGTCTTTGACTATCTTTTATATTTCTCTTGTTCTCTAGCCGACTGCCTACTAGTTCCCACTTTTTATTATAAGTTGCTAAATTAAACTTCACTTTGTTTATACATGTATGGAAAAGAGTGTAGAATCAGGGCATGTTTGTGTAGTTTGTGCTTTTGCCTAGAATTTACAGCAATGAATAACAAAAACATCAAGAACAAAAATAGAGACAAAACTTCAACTTTAAGAATACCAGGTGAATGGCTATAGACAAACGTGTAAGATATAATACATTTGGATGAAGACAAATGAAAAGACTAACGTTTGGACGGGTAAGGAAGTTCCAGCGTAAAGGGAGCATGGGAGAAAAAAACTGGAGACTCACCCTTCCTCCACAGAACAGGGGAAGAGCATGTCTAATGGAAGAACCATATTATGCTACCATCTTAACAGACTAGATTTTTTTTTTTAACAGAAATCTCGTGCATGATTAGAAACAGATGAAGCCTAAAAAGAATAGATTTGCTGCTACTGTATGAAGACTAGGTAGTGCAAAACGGGGGAAAAATAATGCAATACAAGGTACTCTTTATTTAGAGATTATGGAAAGCTCCTAGAGCAAGGTACTCACCAAATATTTATGGAAGTAGGCAGATACAACGTCCCCAGCTTAATCTTTGCAAAACCTCTAGTAACTGAACAATTAATTAAGAGCTATGGTCTTGAACACTAGGTTTCCTGATCAAAGAATAAGAAAATATATAAACCATACATAGATAAATAAGGAATAAAATCTTAGTGAAGTTCAATGACAAATAAAGCATCCTTTAGCTAGAGTGACATCCATCATGGGAAAAAAAGAATCAGTAAGACTCAAGTCCTCTCAGCTTTATCAGAAGTCAGAAGATAATGGAGCAACATTAGAAGGCTCTGAGGAAAATAGACGTCGTTAGTCTTCAGGGAAGGAGTTCAAGGCTATACGTCATTACTTCTTCCACTCCAGGAAAAAGAATTGATCTTGGCTACTCAGATACAACAGCAACAAGTAGCCTATGCTTGATAGTAGGTGAAATCCTTATGTAATGAAAGTTAAAAAGATCATTGCAAATAGATGTCTCTCTTAATTTCAGCATTATGGAAGGAAATAATGCATAATACAGATAAACATTCAGAAATAAAGAAAAATTACTGTCTATTTTTGTTTGTTTACATTGCACTTCGTGCTAGAATGTGTATAGTTTATCAATATAGAAAAAGGAAGTCATACTTACCTAGCAGGGGTGATGATACCATGATCATGAAGGTGGTTTTCCCAGGGTGAGGCTTATCCAATGCACTCCAGATGTGCTGACCCCTGAGATTTCCCCAAATGTGAGAAATTCAACTGCATAATTTGTGGTAGTGGGGGACTGTGTTAGCACTTTCCCCTGAGAAAAGAAAAAAAAAGAAAAGAAAAGAAAAAAGAAATCGAGTCTATCTTAGCCTGATTTTTCAAAAGCTGTGCAAACCTAATTTGCTTATAACCTAGGAATGGTTCACATGGGCCATTCCAGGCCAACAGAGTTCTCTGCATTGGGCTCCCGAAACAGAGTTAACAGTAGTTAACTAGGAATGACTCACAAAGATTTAGACTTGGAAAGGAATCCACAGCTTCTGTTCAAGATGAGGTTGTGATTTCATGTTTGAGTCCTCACTTGCCATTCTAAATATATAGCAATGATAAACTCTAAAATGAAAAAATTGAAAGACATGGCTGAACTAAACATTTGTGCACCTGAAAGTACAAGAGAAAACTCAAAATACAAAATTATAAGCCTATGAATTTTGGGACCAGAATTAGGCGAAGCTGAAATGGAGTAACAAGAACTAACACATGGCCCATGAAAGGTAGGAACCCAAGGCCAGACTTACAGATTAAAAGCAGGGGCTGTGTTGGACCTCCAAACCTTATGGAAGGAAACTGTGAAAAGCTGAGGTCAATGATTTCCTGGGTTACAGATTGCACAGACCTGAGTATTTTGAGACAGGATTACCATAAATAGACACAGATACAAATCTAGTACCTAGGTTAAGCTACCTGTGGCTTATTGAATAAAGATCTTCGGGTACTTGAAAGGAGATCCTAGAACAAAGTAGAATTTTCTGGATATTTTGGTACTTTTGACTTGTAGATATATCTCCGCCTTGATCTTCACGTTTTTTTCCCTCTCTCTCTCCATTGTTATTCTTCCATGCATGTCACCTTTTTGTCTTATTTTCCTCTTTTAATAAGAATACCAGTCATATTGGATTAAGATCTACTTCAATGATCTCATTTTAAATTCATTATTCTTGTAAAGATCCTGTTTACAGATAAAGTAATATTCTGAGGTACTGGGGGTTAGGATTCCAGCATATCTTTTTTTGGAGGGTGCACAATTCAACTCATGACACTCACCAAGTATTTAACAGGAAAAATAAAGTGAGACTTCAGCAAATCAAAAAGCAAGATAACCAGAAGAAAGAGACAGAATTCTCATTAGTAGCAAGAACTGTCAGAGGACAATGTCCTCAATAATTTGGGGAAAATAACTGTTAGACTAGAATTCTACATCCAGTTAAAATATCCTTCTGGAATAAAGGCCAAATAAATCATTGTTTTCAAGCACATGAAGATCTGTAATTTTTACCACT